CTTCAGAGTAGGGAGCAGCCCGTAGCGGCTTCCAGTTTATCGCGGGGCCGTTGTCGCGATACTGGGCGGCGTGACGCAGGCTGACTGCTCCCCCTTCCTCCCCAGCTCTTGCATTTCTTCCCTCACTGTTGTCTGCCCCGCTTGTATGGAGCGGTAGCACAACGGAGAGCTGGGACAGGCCACCATTGCTCCCCGGCCGGCAGGCAGAGGCGGGCTTTTCGCCGGGGACCCTCGCTCCGTGCTTGGCAGCGAGACCCCCTGACGAGGGGGGGTTCCGTACCCTTGCGGCACCCGAAAAGGCTTAGTTATCAAACAGACGTACACGACGTTAAGCTAATTTTCCAGAGCCTTAATAAAAGGAGCGACTAATAACGTAATTACTGTGGTGCTGCCTGGTTTGGCGTTTCCCACCGATCGCCGTGCGCTGGAGACCGCGTATTGGTGAGGGGAAATCGCTCAGCTAGGGCTGCTGGAATAGCCCGAGGTTGTGCCTAGGGGCTGGCAGTGCCCGGGAAGGGCTGGGGTTGGGGCCGAGCACCTGAATTCGTGGTTCCCGCCGAAACAACGTGCAGGGCAGGTTGCTTGGGTCTCCAGGCTCCCTTCATTTAGTCTTCAGAGCTAATCACCTCCTGAGGTGGATAGAGCAGTTTGCATCTGTTTGAGTTACTGTTTCAGGGTTTGGAAGGAAGCTTCTGGGTCAATTTAGTTTTTGTTTGTGACTTCCCCCCCCCATCTGTAATAAACATAAGTACTATTTGTAAGCAGTTTGTTTATAAACAAGTTCTACATGTCTTTTTCAAAGAGAAATTTTGATAGAGACCAAAGCGAAAGATGCTTGCTTACCCATGGAAACAGTCGCTGACCTTTACTTACATGTGTGATCGTATCTATTGCAATATGTAGCCTGAATCCTTTTGTGAGATACACACTAAAACAGTAATTTTATTGTATATTTGAAGAATACAGGTTTTTTTCTCTCATTAACTTGAAAACATGGGAATGCAGAAAGTCTGCTTGCCTCACAGTTAAGATGAAAAGTAGAAATACTAAAGATGGTTTAAATGAACTGCCTGCCATTAATAGAAATAAGCTCTTAGTGAAAGTACGTGCATGGTTTCGCTCACTTTTGCAGAGCTCTGTGGAGAAACAAAGCTGGTTTTGTCTCCAGTGATTCTAAACTCCGTCTGAAGTGGTATTGTAATCATCTGAGTCAGTAGATGGGCAATTCCAAGCAGTGATGTGATGAGAGCATAATAAATGCACAGGATTGACAGCTGAAGTGCTGTTTCACTGGTAGCGTTTCCCAGGAGTTTTCCATTTGAACTGAGGAATCCTTTCACTACTGCTGTTTAGCACCTTGTGGCAGGACCTCTCACCAAACATGGATTTTCAAGTGTTCTTGAGTTTTGATGTATAACCTCTCACACAGGACCTGCCAGTCACTGAAATATCCTGCTGGCTCTAGGAATCCTGTGCTTCAAGTGCAGTTTATTTTGCATGAGCAGCAGCTGTGCTATGGTGGGCTGCTTTTCCTCCTGTCCCCCCTAGATGATGCTGTAATAGAGGCTTCTTCCAGCCATCCTGATGGCCTAGCAGCAAACACTTGCAATAGTAGATTTATTGTAAGATGTTGTAAAAATAAAGAAGCGATTAGGTCATGGAATGGAAGGATACGATGTCCCTAGTGCTATTTCAAGCACCTCGAAAGATTAAATTGTTGAGGTTCCTCTCCTTTGTTAGTGACTCATTCTGCTTACTTGTTGAAACGTGTATCTATATGTTTTCAACGCTAAATAGCCTGCCTCTCACATCTGGTTCACAGCTGGTCTCATATGCATACTTAGCCTCTCATTTACTGTGCAAGACATTGGTTTTTCTCTTGGTCTGTCACTGGGACCATCAGAGAGGAGCAGTGTAGGAAATAATGGAATATATATTTTAAATGTTGCATCGTGTGTTTAGCGTCAGATGTTCACATTTGACTTCTTTCCAGTGCTTCCCCCAGCCAAAAAATAAAATAAAATAAAAGGTGGCCCTTTTGGCCACCTGGGGCCATCTGGTCTTCATTTCTCCAGAGGAAAAAAAATATGTGAATCAGCTGGCTAAAGGTGAAAACTTTATTTCTTTTTCCTCACCCATTGTTTAGAAGCAATGACATTTAGGTTCTGTGGAAGGGTTGGTAGCAGTTTGAAAAGAGATCAGTGTCAGTTCAAGCTAGGGGTAATGTTTGTGTTTCCACTACCTGGGAATCGCTCTATCCGTGAGGTAATAGAATTGTTTTGTGGTGGCTGAATGAATAATTGGATACTTAGAATTTTAAGGGTAGGAATAAGCACTGCTGGAGCAAGCTCTAAGGAGAGAAGAGTAAAAATGGAAGAAGGAATGAGAAGAGTGAGACAGAGTAAAATCTGAAAAAGTATTAGGGTAAAATAAAGATGGTAAGGAAACGGTAAATGGTTGAAGAGAAAAATGAAGGAAGGCAAGATTGGTTAGTAAGAAGATAATAATAGACAATTGTAATGAACTAGACAAACTAGGAAAACAACCTGAAAAGAAATTGGGAATGGGGGCAATGTGAGATGAAAACAATCAGCAGTTATTAATAGCAGTTGGCTCTTTGATTTGAATTACTGAGGGAACATGTATATACTCAACAGCCTTATGCATCTAGGTTTTAAATCAATCCACTCTTCCTGAGCCAAAATGATTTTTCCATTAATGTAAACCAGCAGTACTAGTATGGATTGAAAACCATGACATTATGATCCAGATACATCTCTTGCTATGCACAGATTGACTTAACACTGAAGTATATAATGATGCTGATTTGAGCTAGAACTACTCTTATTTGCTACTGTTGAAAAGAGGTTTTGGGCTTCTGGAAGCAAATCTTGGAGCTATTCATGGGAGGTTTGGTACTGGAAAATAGTTGTGTGAGAGGAGTGCAGCAGCTGAGGCTCTGTCTCCTGTCTGCTGCAACTGGGACTGAAGTCTGGCAGCAGAAACATCCTCCCTTTTTCTTTCTCCTCTTAACAATGGGTAATGAGAGTGAATGCTTGACCTGGTGTGGGAACTTGCAGGAATTGGTATACAGTGGTGTCCTATTTGCTTTAGGATTTTTTAGGATGTCAGATTTTTAAGCATTGTGCCAATTCCAGATCCTGTTGTTACACATGGGCTCAAAAACTTCATCAATCTTGACAAAAACATTCTCTGTTCAGTCTTGTAAATGGAAAATTGCATCAAGCGTCCTGTGCAGATTGGCCTAACTTCGTAAATGCATGTCCAATGTCAAAAAATCTTGATAATTTTCTCTTTCAATGAGCAAAGTTTCATCAGTAGTTAGACGCGGGGAGGAAAGACATCAGCCTCAGATGACAGAACTGCTTCATTTGTTTTCAAAACACGTTCTCCCACCCCCCTCATGCTAGACTGTTTTCAGTGAGAAATTCTATGTGTTGGACAGTTACGTGTTTTTGTGCTAGTTTAAGGCATTTAGTTATTTAGCCTAGTGTTTACTTTCATTTTATTGTCTTAAAATTCTTGCCAGTAGGGCTAGGACATCATTGAGGGGTGGATGTTATTGTGCCTGGAGAACCATTGAGGTTCTCCAAGGGAGTGAGGGAAGGGATAGGCAAGTGTTGCTTTTTGGAAGGTGGATTCTCAGTTGACTGGGAAAGGTGGCATGTGAATGGAAATTCGTGGCTTCAGAACTCTGTACTTGCATCCCACTGAATTTTGGTGTTAGTTTTTCTTTTTTACAACTATGATGCTATGTGTTGGCATTGCTTTCTGAAAGTTTTCTTCTATAGGATTTTACTCAAAGAATTGTCATTGGCAGGGTTCTCTACAAGTTTCTGTGTTGTCCTGGTAAGTGGTCAGTGTCAGTTAGAGCTGGTTATCAGTGCTTGTTCCTTTTGACTTTCAATTTATTTCAACTTAGTGACTTCTCAATTTATTTAATAAATATTGTTTGTTTTTTTCTGTTTATTAATGTATAGATGTTTAGAAGCAGCACGTCAGAAGTTTATACTGTGATGTGTTGACAATGAAAAATAGAAGCAAGAAAATGTCTTGCCTTGCCTTTGAGGTTTAATTGCATCCTTGTTTGTTTCCAAAACACCTTCCCAAATATCCCATTGTATTTTGCACTTGGAGTACTGTAATTTTTATGCATTATTTTTTGCTGGTGTCTTGATTGCTGTGTGTTAGAACCCAAAGATATTTTTTCTGTTTGAAACACCAATCTTCAATAGTGTATTGCTATTTAGAACAGCATAGAAACATTTGCATTATTTAAGACAAATGTTTAAACCTGCCAAACTGGGTGTAATGGAATGTCTGCTATGAATATTGGTGGCCTGGTTGTCTTAATAGAGATGTGGAGGACAAGTCCTGCTCGCTATCATACTGTCCTCCGATCTCCAGATTAATGGCTGAAGTTTTATGAATGGAGCATAATTTTTTTTAAAAATGGTCACTGATCACTGATTTGTTTTATACAGCTACAGTTACGCCAAACCATTATTTAACTTTGATTTGATATTTTTTACATTGAGTGTACTGAACATATTCTTATGGGCAAAAATGTCATGTGGAATGTCTTACGGCAAGCATGGCAGAGCACAATTTCAGGACTGAAAGGAATATTTGCATTGTAGAGGTACTTGAATATGCATTGACAACTTCTATGTTTACTGTTGTGGAGAAGTTTTAACTGTTGCTCTTAGTATTTTGTGGATAAATGCTTGTTCTCTGAATAGAGAACTAGTCTGGTAATCACACACCTTTCTTGAGCTCTAACATTTAGTAGAAAAAAAATTAAAAAGGAGTTAGTCAGTATTTTCTGCTAAAAATTCCTCTGCATTCAAGAGCATAGTAGAGGAAAACTGTTTAAAAGAACTCTGCCATGCTGTTGATTACTTGCTGCTCGTATTGGTTGGCTGTTAATTGAATGCATGTTGTTTATTTTCACTAACACCTCTAGAATCCCTCAGGGAATATTGAGTGTCACAGAGTGATAAAGCTAATATTTACTGAACCCTTAAAAGAAGAAGGGAGTGGTTGCTTGTTTAATGGGGATCTGAATCGGTGTGTTGGAGAATACAGAATACTATGATGTAGTCAGATGATGTATTAATCTCTACTCTGGGTACTGGTTACTTTTCCAAAAAGGAAAATTTAAAGGAGAAGAGTGTATGATGTATTCCTGCAGTGTTCCTATTCTTACCTACATCTTCAAGGTCATGACAAATTAAAAATAATGACTTTGTAATCTTGACGTGCTAACTATTGTGATTAAAATAATCAGTTCTACTGATTTTTTTAGTGCTATAGTCTAAATCTTTATTGAATTTTATTTTGTGCACGTTGTTAGTGTTACTGTCACATAGCTGTAGGCAGAAGAATATTTTAATGATTGATCTTCTGTGTTCTTCAGCCTTTCCATAGTGATATAAATATATAAGCATAATCATGCTATTTCTAGTTTACTCGTTTTTGTTTTTCCTTATTTGTGTATTTATTTGTAATCCTCTTGAGGCTTGAGTTCAGTGAAGTAAATGAAAATGTTGCTGTAGTCTTTAGTTGATTTTTTTGATTACTTCCTAAACATATCTTCTGATAGAAAAATATAATGTGTAAAATATATATGACAATAATAGGAATATAAATGTAGTATAGAAACAACAAAACAGTAAATCTTGAACTTTACGGGTATTTTAATACTTTAATAAATGTTTGCCTATTCATGCTAGAGCTTTAATGCTGGAGCTCTGGTGATCATGCTTTCATGCAATAAAAGAGTAAGTTATATTTTCTTCCTGTGTACATTTGACGTTATTAGCATAATTTAGATCTTTGTTAAAACTGTTCTATCAATAGAACTTGCCTGTTCTCATTTTTCAGAACCATTTGCATTACTTTGTGGTTGCATTTTTAACTAAAGGTAATCTAACAGCAATTTCTAATAACAATTGGTGTGACTAATTTCTTCGGGTCTTGATGAATGGAAAGCTGACAGAAAGAATTCTTTCTTGTCCATTTTGAGTTTTCTCAGACAGTGTAAGAGTTTTGTGAGACTGTTAGGCTTCCCTCCCATATATGTAAAAGTGTATTTAGATTTTTTTTTTACTGCAATTATTTTATTTTTGTATTTGCAGATGTCATGTCAACAAGAGATTTGTAAGATCCACTAATTTGATGTAGGATGTATTTTAGCTATGTGACATTAATTTTTAATATGGTATTTAATTTTTTCCACAATACAAACTTTTGTATTCTTTTTTATTGCACTTATCTTTTCTCCTTTCCTTTATTTTTAACCTTAGTTCGTGGGGCTTTCTTCTTTTTTTTTTTTTTTGGTGTTGCATGGATAACTTAAATTGCTAGCGGAAGAGTATAAATGCCTCACTTTAGTAGTTTTTGCGGGTTAGTTGTGTATCTTTTTAGCAGTATGTAGTAAAAGCTGGTTCTTTATTAGGTCAGCAGTGTATTGGTCTACTTGCATAAAACCACAAAACATAAAATGAAGAAATAAGATTCCAAAGTGCAGCTTAAAGGAAGGATTCTGCAAGTGTGCATACTTAACATGAGTTTAGATTTTTATTGCATACAAGAAAGTACTCTTCCTATCGTAGATGTCATGTAATCCCTGGTCCTGAAACTTCCATGTACAGTGGCAGGAATCTGCCACACTTTAGAACCCCTGTAGGACTCTGCACTGTGCAGATATCTGTCCCTTCCCAGAAAGTTGGTTTGGGATCATTGTATTCTGTACCAGGAAAGGACCCTTGTTTTGGAAATGAACGCTTTAAAAAAATAATAATAAGCTCTTCAGGTGTGGATAGTGTCACTTAGATTGGTGTCAGTTTGAGCCTACTAATGATAACTCATTTGAATCTGTGTATTATTTTGTAATATGATTATCACAGCATCTTTGAAATACAAAGGAAATATGCACCTTGCTTATTTTTGCATAAATTAATAGCCTTTGCCTCTTCCTCTTATTATGTTGAAGCTGACTGGAATGCTTGTGCATCCAAGTCCATGAACACTGTTAGCATACATTGAATTAAAAAGTACTTAACTGTATTTCATACTTCTGGTTTAACATCAAGTTTTCTGCTGTTTAAAATTACAACTTAATTTGATATTGTTCTGTTTTAGACATCCTTAGCTACACGTTTTGCCCAAGAAACATTTGGAAAACAGTATAAACAAACCATAGGACTGGACTTCTTCTTGAAAAGGATAATATTGCCAGGTAAGAGAATAAAAACTAACACTGAAATGTTGGGCAGCTGTAAGACTTGCAGGAAGATTCTTCAGTATAATGTCTACTAAAGAAACTTAGTACAGTGCTTTCTATGGCAAAATAAATTGGATTATTCAGAGGAAGTTTTGTTAGTATGTTCTTGCCAGGTGACAAAGGGTTATGCATTTGTAACTTAAAGATATAAGTAAAACACTGAATTCAAACAAAAGGAATTTGTGATTTTTATTATCTCTACTTGAGTGTACTCACTCTCCATGTGGATAGTGTAACATACAACAATGAAATGGAACTTTAAATGTATTAATTGAAAAAAGTATATGTGTTTTGAAAGAAATAGGTTTTTTTAAAATGAAATACACAACTTGTATTTGAGTTGTGTGAGAGAAGCATAATGCAGCTATGTAATCGCAGTGCTCTAATATGTGAATGCTGTTTTATGCAAGGCAGCATGAAATTGCTGGCATTTAATAGACCACTAAAATTTAGGGTCCCTTGGCACTCATAAAAATACAGTTTCAGCATTCAAGATGTTTCACTTCACGACTGCAAAGAAACTATTTAGATGCCAGTTGCAGCACACTGTATAGAAAATGCAAAGGAAATAATTAAAAAAGAATAGTTGCTGGTAGAAGTTTGTCTCTGAACAATTGGGGTTTGAAATAAGTCTGCATAGATTTGTGGTTGCTCAATTTCCAAGTATGAAATTATTTCATTAAATGTATTCTGACTTCAAAAGTCAGAAAAAGTTGGAAAAAGTATATATAGTTTTTAAAAGTTGTGAGATTTGATAAAGTTAATGCAAGTTCTGTAGTTCTGTCTTTTTTCCTTGTGGAGGGCACGAAGGGAAGCAAACCCAGAAATGAAGCATTTTATCTATAACCTGAAGTTATACGAAAATGTATACAGTTCTTTAACATATTTTGCCAAAATGATATTGCCAATAATTTCTTGATAATGTTTGTATATTTTCTTAAGTGAAACAGAATAATCTTTTCAGACTACTCCTGCATTCACTGTTTTGGTTTGGCCATTTTGCTGTGCTTTTTTTAGTATCTGGTGAGTGATAAAGTACCATATTTCAGTGCTTATTTCTCCATAAAATCAACAGAATATTTTTTTTATTGTCCTGCTCATGCCTTTAAAAATACCAGTGTGCATAATACTTAACAGCAGTACTTGCAAGTGGAATGTGTACACAAATCATGCAGTGTGCATGCTGGGAACTTGTATTTTGCAAGGTTTTTTCCCAGCTGTTAAACATACAGAAGCTATTAGTACATTACTGGGATTCCAAATATTCTTGTTAAGCACAAAATCTGGAAAATTATCAACTATTGATTCGTTCATGTTTTACTTTCTTCTAGTTTATTTTGTAATAAAATCAGAATTTAGATGAAGATAGCACCAAAGCAACAAAATCTGTACATCTGTTCTCTGTATTTATAATTAACAAAATAGTAATGTTTGTGGAATATATTCATATTCAGGAAGAAGCATTTTTCTGTAGATTGTCATTCTGGTTTTGCCTGTGCCTATATGTGTGCTTAGGTATATATGGATTTCTGTGTCTTACAGGTAAGTTGAACTGATGGTAGGGAATAAGAGGGAGGGAGGTAAAATTTCTAACTATTGCAATGGGAAGCATTACTTAAATAAATGGATTTTTCTAGCTTTTTGATTAGTTTCGATTTGCAGAGCTGCTGTGTTTACTTGAAAGATTAATTCATACCGCTGCACAGTAATTGCAATGTGCATGTAAGTAGGGAAAAAAGCCTCAATTTCTCTTATTTATTAGGAGAATTGTTGCGTAACTATGGTTCAGTAGTTGATTTTTTTTTCTTTAAGCAAAGATTTCAGAAGTTAGAATTACTGATTTCTAGAATTGCGTAGATGTTTACATTAGGCCACATTAGAAATGCATTTTAGCTTGTAAAATAAAATACTGTTTTTATGTTTTTTTTTTCTTTTTAAAAATAAAAATAGTATTTGTATCCAATTGTTTTAGTAACTGATGCAGTTTTGCAGTGTAAAAAGTAAATATTTTACACTGTAAAACAATGTGGTTTAATACAAATAGTAAATGGTTAATTTTGAACGATGTGACTTTCAGTGTTCAACTGTTGACAAACTCTCTTCATGAAGTTTGCTCTAAATATTTTTTTCAAATGCAGATCAATTTCAGTATATCTACTGGTGCAGTATCTTGAGTAGTCTGGATGCAGCCACAGTGTAGATTTTACTGCTCCAATAGTGTATGTTAGTCAGAGGGTCTGCTGATAGAAATTCTTAAGAGCCTTAGTCGAATACTCTTAGGAGGGTTATGGGTGCAGTCCAGTAAACAGGATTCTTCTTTTAAAAGGACTTTTTTTCAAGTTGTCAGTGCAAAAAGTGGGCAGACTCGTTTTTAGTTCCATCTTGACTGTGCAGCACTTTAAGTAAGGTTAACCCATGCACCAAGTACAGGATTACTACTGATTCAGCCCGGTGGCTTCAGTTCATAGCAGAAATAATCTAGATACTTGCACTGTGTTGCCTCAGTTATTTTAACTTTGCACTTGTGTGCATTTTCTGCAGAGTGAAGAGATTCTAGTGTTTTCTTATTTCTTATCAGTACATGACATAATGCTTTTTTGGGATTCTTCAATTACTTTTATTGGTATGTTAACCTTGTTTCTAAGAACTGTCTTACTGTGCATGGTTTCTTTTTTGTTTTGTTGTCGTTCTCCAGCTTGTATGTTCCTCTAAATCTATGAAAAAATAGAGTATTTCAAACTTGTTGCAGAAAACTTCATGTGCGACTATCATAGTTGTTAATTACATATTTGCTAGGCAAATTGTCTGGAGTTTTTCCTTCTGTCAGAATAATCCTAGGATCCTTCTTTCTCCTTCAAAAACAATCTGACCAGAAAGCAAATATTACATTACCTAATTGGAGGGGGGGAAGGGAAAATGAAGCATTTTGCACCGGAGATGATCAGCTTGAATTTCAGTAGTTACTGAGGTCTTAATTCCACTTCACCTCAAATGAACATTCCAATTTTTTTTCCCCTTTTTTTTTTCCTTTTAGTGAAGGAAAATGAATGCTTCATAATAGTAGATTTTTAAGTTGAACAGTCAGTGTTAGGCCATTTATTTTAACTTCCTACATTAAAGTTTCTCAGGTTATTTCATACAGTTATGCAGATACTAAGCCCAGTATGCTATGAATGATTACTCCTCTTAGGAGGAAAAATGAAGTCAGAGGCTTTTTGAAGCTTTTGAACACACTATTTCTGAAAATTGTTGAGTTTGAAAATGATAGTATTGATAAAACTTTTTTTCGAATAGATGGCATGAATGGCATGATAAATTTCCAGTAAAATACATACAACCAAGTTAGAGGTAGTATAATGCAGCATGGTGGGCTTTTAAGCATATTGTTTGTTTACCCACTGAGGATGCGTAGTTGCTTCAGTCTGCAGATTCACCAGTTTATCCATGGCAGATGCTTAATAGAAGATCTTTTTGCATTATTTGCTGTAACTTATATCTTTTAAGCTTTAAAAATTATTATTTAATAAATAGTATATGCATTGTCAGATAAGCTTTTTTATTCTGTGAAATGTTGCTTTTATTTGGCTGGAGTGTTTAGGGCGTATTTACTAAGCTCCGTGTAGAAATTCTTTATCTTAATATTCGATAAAGCTCACTGTGGCTTAAAAGTACTGTGACTAGCTTGTCTCACACTTGTCTCTATGTATTTGAGATCAAAGTAGCTATTTAGGAAATCTGCGCTTTTAACCAGATTAAAGCGAGATGTGTCATAAAAATATAAAGTGGTATAGTTAATACCACAAGTAGCATATATTGAGCAATATAGTTCTAATTTGCTCTTTATGATCATTGTGCGCTGGAATATATTTCCATGGAGCGTAACTTGCATATAACGTACAGCTCTCTTGCAAAACTAATGTGTGTTTGTTATAAACCGATGGCTGAATAGACCACATTTTGTAAAATAGGGTTGTTAGTAACATAACATAGTTGAATTAAGAGTATATGTTTCTTAGCAGCCCAAAATAATGTGTTCTTTTTCACTAGACTCTCAATTGTTATGATGTGGAATTTGTTGTAATTTTTTTTAAATCTAGCAATAAAAGTAATAGACAGTTATGAGCATTTGTGAGTATGTAAAAATGTTGTTAACATGTAAGCCATGTGAGTTGTATGGAGATTATAAAAGTTTTCATCAGACCCTTACTGCATTAGAATTTGGTGCTTCCGGATAATCAGCACAGCTTTGAAAACAGTTCTCACCATGCAGAATTATTCTTTAATATGTTTGTATGCATGTGGTGACATACTGTGCTGTGTGTATGTTTAGTCTGTGAGTTTCTGAGTTGTTAGCTTGCAGAATATGTATGACTTGTAGGATATTAAATCTTCTGTATTTACACTGATTTTTTTGTTACATAGTTTCTGAAAGCCTATCAACAGTTTCAGCATAGTTTAAAGACTTTAGAGTAGAAAGATCTGTTCTTGGTGTAGATTTTTCAAAGACGAAATTATGTAAATAATAACCAATTTAGTTGCCTGCTTTGAGGTGGTAGGTGGAGGAAATAATCATAGTTTGCATCCTTAATTTATGTGTGTGTCATGATTTCCGTTTTTTAATGTCAACTATACATTTCTTTAATTGTATAGCAGTAAGAGCTCACTACCAAAATGTAGTTTCTATGAAGATTTTTCTGCTTCTAGATTTGTAAAGAGAATTTGGAGGAGGGGTAGGGAAGAGTATTTCATTCAGAGTATGAAATAATGTGGTTAAGTTTGCATTAATTGTATTGCTGATTCCAAGTACTGCGTTACAGAACTTTCTCTGTATAGTTCGATGTGTTTCTTCAGTGAAGTATGTTATATAATTTCTAGTCAGGAATGTTGTACTTTATGCAATTCCAATTATTGTCTGTTAATATTAAATATGTTAATATCTAGCTATATTTTTACTGCATCTTAATGACTTAACTGGACACAAGTGAATTTTTCCCAAATGATACACTCACCTTTTTGTTGAAATTTCGTTACTGTTTATTGTATAATTGTAAAAAGCTATTGCTGTTGATGTGCTAGAGCTGTATTCTATGCTGTGATAATGTATCTTTAATTTTATTTGTATCCAATTTTTCCAGGTTACACAATATCTGTATGATTTTCTTTTTCAGGAAATTTGAATGTTACTCTTCAAGTGTGGGATGTAGGGGGACAAACAATAGGAGGCAAAATGCTCGATAAATATATTTATGGAGCTCAGGTACAGTATAAATGTTGAGAATTGTATCTATAACAATTACATAAAATTCATTGAAACTTTGTTCTTAGAATTTTGCATATCGTACAAGTGGTTGTTTTGTAAGTCTCAAAAATGTTGAATCTCTGCTTAAACTTAATTGATATAAAAACACAAGTCAAATTTTGGTAGTAGTTAATACTTTAGAGCTGACTTAAAAAGCAAAGCAAGAGCGTGCATTTATAGATCGGAATAACTCTCAAGAACAGATGTACGCTTCCATGTTTTGTGTCTTGAGTTAAGAAAAGCAATCACAGTAAATAGTAAAGGCTATTTGGATATCCGCATGGTAGATACAGTGACTGCTTTTAGAACAGATGCCTCCTGGGGGGAAAAAGTAGAAGGAGGAAATTAAGAGCAATCCTACACCGTTAAACTCATACATGAAACTGGGGTTATAAGAGGGCAAACAAAAGGAGGCAACCAGGTAGCTAAATATTTTTGCAGAACTTCCATCCAATGAAAATTAATTTTATCTTGAGGTTAACTAAGCAACTTAAACTGAATGGTAGGATTAAGTAAGAGCTAAATATTTTAACAGTATCCTGAGTTATGAGATGATTTAGAATGATGTACTATATGCCAAACTTCTTAACATGAGTTATACTAAAATGTACTCTGTTCTTTAATTTGGAGTTTATAATGAGAACAATAGGCATAATGTGTTTTATTGTACTTATCTTAAAAGAAAGTAAACACATCTGTTTTTTTTCCACTGATGCTTTAAGCAATAGGAATATGGAATCCTAGAACTTTTTGGATAGAAACTTTGTACTAATAAGTACAGCACAGGAATGGCTAATTAAGGAGATTAGTATTTATTAGTTAATAGGATAAAGGCAAACTTCTCAGTTTAACATTCTGTCGCTTTCAAAAAATGGCTGAATGTTTTACATCTGTTTTCTAGCATTTACTTATTTTTGAATAAAAAAACCACATTTTGCCCTGTTAAAAATCTACCAAGCAACAGGAGAAAGTGGCTTCCATGTCAGACGGAATTTGATTAATCACAAATTGTTGCCATATGCCCAAAGTAAACTCAATAAAGGAAATAAAAGGCTATTAACTTTCTCTATGTTGAATTTGGTGATAAACTTAAGAGTTTCTTATCAACAATAGCAGGTCAAAAAGTTAATACCAGTGGCCCAAAGTAGTGAAAAAGTTGATATCAGTAAGCCTAAAGTTACAAAAGTTTGATTTTTAGTCATTTCGAGCACATTAACAAAAAACCCTACATCCAGTCTCTTCTCCTTTAGTCCTCCCCCAACCCTCATTGTAACCGTTTTGGTTTTTTTCATGAACTAATGGCTATTCTCTCTCCCGTTGTTGGCATGTATTGCAAATGTCTGTAATAGGTTTCTTATCATCAAAGCTGACTTGTAACACACTTTTCTATTACTTTGTAACAGCACCTGCTAAAGACACATAAAACTTTATTTTCATCTATTCTTGGAACACCATTAACAGATTGGAAAGGCACTGCTTTCAGCTTATTTCTAGGCAAAAGCTTTTTTCATATTGCACATCTGTAGCTTTTTAGAAGAAAAAGAAGAAAAATAAAGTAGAACAAGTAGGAGGATTTAGAAAGAATCCTTTTAAGAATGTATAAAAATTCCTGTGAATGAACAGCAAAGCAGCAAGAAAGTAATTGGGAAGAGCTAGTGTGGAATTAGCAAGGTTAAATTGTGCCCAACCAACTTGATTGCCTTCTGTGGTTAGATCATTGGCTCTGTGGAGAGGACAGCAGTGGATGTCATTTACCTTGACTTCAGAAAGGCCTTTGACATAATCTCCCGTAATATTATTGCAGACAAAATGTAGAGGTACAGTCTGGATGGGCAGACGATAACATGACTGAAAGCTGAATGGGCAGTTGGACTTAAAGGAAGATGGTCCATAGCTTAATGTCTTATTGGTGCCTGCTTATGAGTTGTATTCCTTAGGGGTTGGTACTGGTGTCATGTCTTTTATTAATTCTTTGAACAATGGAACAAAACATTGTGCAATGGCAGCAAGTCATGGAGGAATGGTTATTGTGCTGGAGGGTAGGGCTGCTATTGAAAGAGGCCATGACCAACTGAAGGAAAGGACAAACAGAAACCTTGTGAAGTTCAAAAGACAAATGAAAAGTCCTGCAGCTGGGACAGAATAACCTTATGCAGGCTGGAAATCAACTGTTGAGAAATCAACTGGATAGCATCCATTGAAGGGCACAAAGCTGATTAATGGACTGGAGCATCTCCTCTGTGATGAAAGTCTGAGGGTGCTGAGAGTCTTCAGCCTCAGGAAGAGAAGGGTCAGGGGGATCTTATCAATGAAAGCAGGTTGTGCAGAAGTACAGGTTGTACACTGAGTGGTACTCGGTGACAGGACCAAAGACAAAGGGAACAAACTAAAACATAGGAGGTTCTTTCTGAACATCAGGAAACACTTTATTACTCTGAGGGTGTTTGAGCACTGGCACAGGTTGCCCAGTGAGGTTGTGGAGTCTCCATCCTCAGAGATACTCAAAGCCATCTGGACATGGTCCTGGACAGCTGGCTTTAGATGACACTGCTTGAACAGAGATGTTGGACCGAATGACCTCTAGAGGTCCCTTCCAACCTCAGTCATTCTGCAAAATGATTTTGGAGAGGAGAAGGTGAGGGTGCTAGTGGAAAAAAAAGAAGAGTTGAATGGGAGTCAGCAATGCACCCTTGCAACAGTGAAAGCTAACTGAATGCTGGGCTGCATTAGTAAGAATGAAGTAGGCAAATCAAAGAAAGTGATTTTCAACCTCTGACATTTTTGCAGCTATATTTTGAGTATTGTGTTTAGTTTTGTGTTCCCCAATCAAGAAAGCTTTTAAAATATTGGAGTAATTCTAGTGAAGGTTGCTACAAAAGTAGTATGTGTTCCTATGTTGTGTTGCACTTGGTCAATGTGTGTGGTGCAACTGGGATTTTAAGCATCTTGTTTGTAAAGCACACAAGCTGTACACGGACACATAGACTAGATGATTTGGATCTGTTGCAGAAATTGTGTTCCTCTGCATATATTCTCCAAATCTAAATAATTCAAATTTAAAGTACATTTGTAGAATAGCTTGCAGTGTGCCTATGTATGCATTATGCTTTTATCAAGTATTTGCAGATGCCCACAGCCTTTGATAGACTTCACCTGGCTGATCACCATGATATTCAGAAATCACAAGTGGATGAATACTTGTTATTTTGCTTAGAAATCCAAATTTATGGTAGACCTACTTATAAAATACTAAGACCAGCTGGAGATGGAAGTTTTGAGAATCTACAGTGACTGAAAATGTTATCTTAATAGCACATCTGTTGTTCACTTGATCTCAGTTGAAATTTGATCAGGATACCAGGGGAAGTTAGTGAAGCATCCATCTATACTTTCCCACAAACCTTGCTACTGGAGATTTCCTTCTCTTTGAATGAGAGCTGAATCAATTTTCTAGTATAGATCTTTTGATGAAGTTACTGCTAAGGTGCCTTTTTTGACTGAGGCCCCTGATTTCTTGTGCCATGTTTTAAAAGAAGAGTGCCAGATTAGAGGATGGGAACCTCTTTAGTCAATTTGCTTGCATGATTGCCGTTGGAGAAATTGCAGTTCACTTGCTGTCCTGAAGCATTTCCTTTATTTCTCCCTCCCCCCCTGTTTTTTTTTCTTCTCATGTTGCTCATTCAGAACAATATACTTCCTGCATCCCATCTTGGTAGTTGATTTTCAGTGATGGGTCAGAAGAACTCTGCAGTCTTGGGGTAAAAAGAGCTCTTTGATCTTTATAAATGAAAGGTGCTAATAAACAGCTTTCTGTCAGTGTTGATTAAAACTGACACATTTATCTCGGAATTGAGAGAGGCTAAGAGTAATCATGTAATCAGTTATCATAGCTGAGCTGGTAGACAGTAGCTCATTTGGTTATGGTAACTCAATTGCATTTGAGTGACCATGTCCTCAGTATCGGCAAAGATAACAGTGGTTAAGCATATATAGACTGTAAACTGTTTTCACCTGTAAAAACAGTATTTCTGGAAGATATAATGAAGTTACTCTTTGCTAAAATGAATATTCTCTGACTAGAAAAAGTATGCTAGTATTTTGGACTGACATATTTAATGACTATGCATGAAAATTTGAAAGTTAATTTAGTTCCCTCATACTAAAGTCTGTCATGGAATGAGAGCAGCTGAGGATAAACCTTAAGAAGAAAATATATGGTTTTAATTAGTGGTTTTTTTTTAGTTTTCTTTTATTCTGAAAAATCTTTACATAAACTTGATACCTTTTAAATGTTGATTGTCTAGTGTGAATATATTGTCTGGTTACAACACTTCCATTGTAGCAGTTCTGCTGCTGTTTTCATGGTAAATATTTCAGAACCACTCCCATCTCTTACCTGTAATTACTACCCCTACCCACACATCTTATTTAAAGTATCTTTAAGAGGTGGCATACGCTACCACACGTAAATCCACTTGTTAACAGAATAAGAGTACTCGAGACTCTACCTTCTTCAGAGACCAGCATATAATTTCTGCAATATTCTCAGTTTCCAGTGACCTATTTTTGAAAATACTCTCATTCCAAAACAAAAGGCACTCACATATACGCTAATGTAGGCAGAATGTCTCTCTTACTAGAGTGCAATTATGCAAGCAGGGACTCTTTGCCACATTCCTGGAGACTTGAGAATTAATGTGCTGTTCTCAGTGTGGTGTTCTCCATATGTTTCAAACCTTTTTCATGGCAGGGAAATGTGCTACTTTTGTGTAAAAAGGCTGGTGTTAATTTTCCACCTTAACTCCTCAAGCATAATAGGGAAATAACAGCTTTCATACTATCTACTTATGTACTTCATGTACTGTAAGTTTGTGGAAAATATCATGTATTTCTGTAAAAGCAGTGATGGGATTTCTATGTTAAATAAAAAAAGTGAAATAAATTTTAGCTATGGAGTTATGACTAGTTCTTAATTAATTATAAATATCATGCTAAGTTGCTTATAGAGTGCTGTTGTGGCAAAAATTTAAGCAAGAAGTATCCTTTATGAGCTAGATGCCATGCTGCTTTTTTTGTGTGTTTCTAAGATGTCATCTCTGTTATCTTTGTTTCTTAAGTATGGCAAATATTGACAAGATTTTTGAAAAATTGTGAAGAAAACAATATGCTTTAAAGGCAATGTTTAGTTCATGGAGAAGGGGATGAAAAAGAAGCTAGGTGACCTCTAGTTATGAACTTTGTTCAATGATTTCTTTCACAGTAAATCCACCATGGATACTCTTTCTTCCTAAGGTGTAGGTAGGCAGCAGTTGGCTAGAAGACATGTAACAGAGTAGAATTTTAATGAAGAATTAGTTAGAAACAGAGTTAGCCAACCTTAAATACTATTCAACCATATATGCTAATAAAGAGTCTTACTAAGTTTGTCTTACATCTAACTCTGATTAAACTCTTCAGTGCTGAAGATGGTTTAGATAATCTGCTCTGCTTTTTTTGCAAGCTGGTGAAAGAAGCATGCCGTGTGCTCTTTCTCATTTACAACTTCCGGCTGTGTGTCTGGTTTATTTGTATCCCTTACAATACCTGTCCTTCAGTTTGAGTTTCTTTTCCACTGAGTGTTTAATAACATCAGTATGTCTTTCCTAGAGCAAAACTTACATTATGAAAGACAAATACATGTATGCACAGGCATTTGGGTAGTTTTAAAAATAGTCAGAAGTTAACTGACATGTAAGATATTAAGAAGTAAATGTACAAAAGTTGGAAGACGGAAGTGGATGTTTAATATTAGGTTTGATTAGTAAAGCAAAGGAGGAAAGATAGCAAGGGAAAAGATGGGTGTAATGATTCTTAATTTCCTTGAAGAAATTGGTGAAGGCTGCTCCTCAGAAATCAATAGTAGCCACAGAAATATAAGGAACAAGAACTCATTCTGCCAAGGAGTTGAAGGCATTGGAGGAAAAATGATAGAATTGTATTGCTATCCTAGGGAAATGGGAATTGAAGGGATCTCAATAGGATCTGTTGCCCTCCTCTGAAGCTATACGTGTGTAATGTCTATTTCATTTTTATCAACCTTGAGAAATCCTTGAAGGTGGTATATTTTAGAGCTTTACTATTCTTACTGTCTACATGTTGGTTTTTAGTATGTACCCTTGCTATTGATCACAGAATTGTAAGAAAGTTCAGGGTGGAAGGGATCCCTGGAGGTTTCTAGTGAAAACCTGCTCAAAGTAGGATCAGCTGTGAGATGGGACTAGGTTGCTCAAGGCTTTATCCAGTTCATTCTTGTAAAATTCATTCTTCATTCTTGGAGTCTGAGCAACTTCTTTGGGCACCCTATTCCACTGCTTGATTCTCCTCATGGTGTAAAAGCTTTTCCGTTTCTCTAATTCAAATTTCTCTTGATTCCACTTTGTCCTGTTGTGTTTCATTCTCCTGTCATGCACTGCTGTGAAGAGCCTGACTCCACCTCCTTCATAGCTTCCTCATGGGTACGAGAAGGCTGCATGTAGGTCATTCCAGGGCCGCCTCCTCTCCATGCTGAAGAATTCTGGTTCCCTCAGCTTTTCCTCATAGGACAAGTGTTTCAGCCTGTCATCATCTTGGTGGCCCTCTGCTGAACTTACACTAGTTTACTGATGTCTTGAGTGGCCCAGGACTGGATGTATTACTTTAGATATGACCTAACAAGTGCTGAGTAGAAAGGAATAGATCCCTTTGTCTAGTGGCTTTGCTTCTGCTAATAGAGACTAGGATCATGTTGGCCATACTTGCTACCAAAGAACATTGCTGGCTCATATTTGGCTTGCTGTCTACCAAGGCCTGAAGTTCATTGTCAGTTGCTCCTCAGCCAGTTTGTCCCACTCGGCCTGTACTGTTTCTTCTTCCCCACCTCAAGGCTTAGCATTTATCTTTGTGAATGTTGAAAGGTTCTTGTTCACCTGTTCCTTGAGCATGTCTACATACATCTGAATGGTAGCCCTGCCCTCAGACCTGGACTGGGAGGCTGCTCCTCCCAGTTTAGTGTCATCTGCAAAGTATGTATAAAAGCGTATAAAAAGATAACTCCTGTTCTCTTTTGAAACTTTTACCAGCATCATCATGCCTGCCATCAGTCTTGTGTTTGTTGAAACAGTGCAGTTTTTTCAGTTTCCTGATGTCAATCATGGCCTCTGATATTGTTACCTCTAGTCCATTCAAGGTGAAATAATGCATCCAGTTTTAGATACTGAATGCAGTAAAAAATCACATTCAGTGTCCAAAGCTGGATGCATTATTTCACCTGGAATGTTTCATACCAGTGTGATACTTGCCTTTTTGGCACAAAATAAGCTTGACATATTCAACTGTGATGTACTGCAGCTCTTGATCCTGTTGTATAGTACTTGCTACAAAGCCAGATGTTTCCTATTGTGCAGTAGATTATTGCTTCCTTTGAACTTGTCACGGTTCTTATTGAATTGCATCCTATTATTTTTAGATTGTTTCTCATCACATAATCTAAACTCTTCTTAAATAATCTTTCAGTCTCTACCAGTTTGTTGTCATCTTTGAAATGAATTTTGTAAGGGTGCACTCTATTTTATAATCTAAGACACTCCTCATGAAACTATCAAGTAAAGCTGGGCCCAGACAAATGCCTAAAAAGCTTGATTTGAAAAAAATGCTTTCTGTTGACAGTGGGTCATTGAACCAGCTAATTTTATATACATTGTGTCAGTTTTCTTAAAATATTTGCGAAACTCTCATGTGAGTAACTGTATGCAGTTGTAGAAGCCAATTCTGACTTTATTCCTCATTTACAAGATACCTTATTAGGGTGTCGTGGAAAGCAGAGGCAGAAGACTCAATAATTTAGAGGAGAATGATTTGTGAGAGCTGATCTTAGAATTATGGAGGGAAGAATGGGTCATTTGAGCTGTTAATAGGCTGTGGTTTATAATATTGGATATTAGCTCTGAGGAATCCTCAGTAATGTCTGTTTTGAGTATTTGCTACTTTTAGCCTGGCGCAAAACTTCTGAAATACATGAGACTCCCTTCTTTTTGACTTCTGACCATGTTTTTAGTTTGTACTTCAAAAGTTTAAAGCTTGCCAGTACTTCTTGCTTGTCTTCTACAGAACGGTGAAGGAAGGGATCTGGCCTTTCTTCCCAAAGGAGAGCAGAGATACAACAGTCAGACAATGTGCAGAAATGTATGATTTAACTGCTTTTCTTTTTCCATTTTTTTTTTTAAAAAAAAAAAAAAGGGAACATTGAAACTACAAATACAATTAGCTAAAATAAAAATCCTTCTCCCATGTGATTTTTGTCTCACTATTAGTGTGAAATGCTTTTTGTGGTGTTTGGTGTTTTTTGTTTCGGTTTTTTTTTTTTTTTGTAAAGCATATGCAGTTTGGAATATTTCTAATGTAACTATTAATGCTCTTTACTGAATTGCCACTTTTTTATGCTGTTGTAGTTCAGTCAGCATCTGAATTTAGAACATATGGAATGCAGGATAAATACTGTAATAAAATGTGTTTATTACAGAAACTTACAATTCCTTTGATTATTCCTCGAAAGAGACAATGCTGTTATTTGTTAATGCTCTGTTTTATGGTAACAATAATTTAGACTGGTGCAAATTTGACCATGTTCAAGTATTTTTATAACCTGTAACATTTTAAATGTATCTTTTTATTTAGGGTATTCTCTTGGTTTATGATATTACCAATGGCCAGAGTTTTGAAAATTTAGAAGACTGGTATAATGCAGTAAAAAAAGTGAATGAAGAATCAGAAACGCAGCCACTTGTGGCCTTGGTTGGAAATAAAAGTAAGTTATTAATACCTAAATATTAATTGAAATACTCTGGATGTTGCTTTCTATTGAAGAAATGACGCAGGGCATATATCTTTAGTAAAATCAAACTGAATGCTGTCTTGTGTGTTGTTGCTGTATACAGATGACATATTTGGATCTACCTCAGGATTCTGCCCCTGGGCAGTTAGGTTGAGGGACTTGCTGCATCATGCTTGCCTAGCCCGCAGCCTCCCTGCCTGTGTTTTCTTTCCTTGGAGGACAGCACACAGGAGCTCACCCATGTTTGAATTTGATAGGGCTTCAGGATATAGCCATGGCATGCATCTAGAACAGAGTACTAGGAAGCATTCCTGGATCTAATAACAGGTATATTTCATCATTTTGTATGCCAAGAGACAAGTAAAATACTGGTATATATTATTTAAAATAACTGCGCTATGCACTGGGCATAGTTGAGTTGCTTATTAGGCTTTTTTTGCATGCTATCTGTAGTTTTGTAAATGACGTTACTTACTTCCTGTTGTTCTGGGATTTTTTTTAACCTGTCCCTTTTCAGTCATGTAAGTATGATATAATGTGGGTTTTGGTTTTTTTTGTTGTTTTTGTTTTTGTTGTTTTTGACCATCAAAATATGTCACTTTAAATAACCATCACCTAGTTATTTTCCTAATTAGATGGATTCTGAAATCCCCCATTTTCAGCTAAGTAATTTTATAGAAACATCCTTATTAGCATATCTGAGGTCTTGATCCTGGCACTCTCACCCTTTTTCTATTGAAGATGATAAAAGCAGCATAAAGCAATTTTAGAAACAAAGTGATGGGAACAGATACAGAATTTTTAAACACTGTAAATATATATTTTTAAGCAACAAAAACGGGTTTAAGTTTTTTTTTTACTTTCTAAGTAATTTATATCCATGTCACAATCTCCATATCATGAACAAACCTGAAAAAAGACCTAATCTACCAAATTAGTATTGCTTAAAAGCATTTGAAAACAATGTAGAGACATCACTTTCATTCAGAACTATTAACTGTAGTGTTTCTAGTGTGGTGGTGTAACATTTTATGATGTTAATTATGAAAGACTACTTATTTTCTGGGAATTAAACAGAGAAGGTCTTAAGAGTTACAATACATAAATAGCACTTCTGAAAGTATAACATAAATCGTATTGTACTCTAGCAAACTAGAATCAATAATATAGATTCTATTGCAATTCAAATGAAAAACATTTTTCACTGACTTATATTTTGTCCTGAAATCGGATTTCCTAGCTGGAGTTCTGCAAATCTTATGAAGCATTTACTGTAAGATACACTGTAACATAGGAGAAATAATATTCTTTTGCTGAAATCACATAATAGAGGTAGAAAATCAGAGACTGGTTTCCATTTGAAGGAGTTTTATCTCTGTTATATACCTGAAGGATATACATTTCTCTCATAAACATGCCTGCAATTAAAATCCAGTATTTCCTTGGGAGCATCTGCAAAAAGAATATGGTTTCACAGGTGAGTTTCCAGATAAAGACTGATACTGTCTAGTGAAAGGGTTTTCATTTTATGAAAATCGCAGCTGAAAGGGAACAGTGCGCCTGCTACCTTGCTTTTCTTCGAAAGCTGTGCATAAAGAAAAAAAGCAAGCTGTTGCTTTCATGTGATTCTAAGGATGCTTTTTGTTGTTGCACGTGTCAGGCTTGCAGGGGATGCTGCTTACAGAGGTAATTCTTTTGCTTTATTTTAGTGTGATGAAAATTAAACTTTTAGAAGTGTATTGCTTTTCTGATTTCTATAGTAGGAGAAGAATATGTAGGAGGGCTTCCACTCCAATACTTTAATGACCTGTGAGAGGTAACTATCGTCAAGCTTCTCTTGTTACATAAGTAGCAAACAAGGTGTTTGTATGGAAGCGTGTTGTTGATTCTTGCGTATGATGAAAGGATAAAGCTACTGGTACTATTAGATTCTTCAGGTGGAATCTCCGTGTTCAGAATAGCTCAACTTCTTTACTGATTAAGTGATACACTCATACACAATGCAAAAACAATAACAGATTGAACGCCAAGAAAAGCCATGTGGTGAACTGATGAACTTATTTGACCTCATGATTCACACAGGAAAAATACTTTCAGTCAATAGTTTCTGTTTTAGGATTGTACTTGGTTTTTGATCTATACATGTCTTTTAGGAAAATATCCATGTATGCTTACTTAAATACTATAAATGTCTATATCCACGGGCAAGTTATTCTAACACAACTGTCTGATAAAAATTTTTAAAAATTACCAAGAATGCAGTTATTTTCATTCATAGCAACTGGAAATCATTGAGCCAGTATCTAGATACCTATATAAGAATTTGGGAGCCCAATTGAAGCCATTGATTTTGAAACTTTGCCTAAAGTTAGTGCTGTTCTTTTGAGTATACTTAGCTTGGGCTTAGGCTGTCATTTGTCCATTTTCACTTACTAATACTCTCTGAAAGAAATATGTATTTTTTCCATTTTGGGCTAAATATACCCAAGGTCTCTGCTTTAGTGCTTCAGAAATAGGAATAAAGCTATAGTTTAAAAAGAAAAAGTTTGGAAGAAAATAATGAAAAATATATTTCTTCACAATGACATATAGAAAACTGTACAGATGAATTCTTAGATGAAAATAATTCCCTTGAGTAATATTGTCATTGAAAGCAAATTACTTCAGATAGAGCAGTGTATGGTGCATAATTGTGTACCAGCTGTTAAATTCTCTATAAAACTGTATGATTTAGTAGTGATTTTTTTAATCAATTTGTAATTATTCCATTAAATGTGTTAAGTTTGCTGTGATTTCTTCAGTATTCCACCAAAGCTGAAGAAATTGTTCAGTGCTGATTTAAATGAATTAGTGCTAGTTTTGACTATTCTATTTCACTGTATATTTAAATAGATTAGAAGCATGAACACAGTAAGCTGCTGTGTGACTGTTTAAAGCATGATAATTAACTTCAGAGAGGTGACAATTTATTAAAATGTCCTGTTGTGATTGTAAGAGATTGATTTTCTCGTGAAATATTGGAAAGGTAGTTTCTGCATACAAAGCTCCAATCAGTGTCCAATCCCTAATCCATCAGAAATGTATTTGAAAATAGTAAGTGGTACGAATTGAGATCTCCTAAATTCTGGACCTCCCCACCACTTTTCTTTTCCTCTCCCTCTGTCTGTCTTTTCTTCTCCTTCTGTCTTTTCCCACTAATTTATTAAAAATAATTGCGAAAACAAGAGCTTCAGAGATGCAGTCCTCCTTTTTGGAAGTAGTACTTTAGTTAAAGTGACTGTCTTCCTCCTGGATGCTTAGTTTTATTTTTTTATTCTTTCTTCCTTCCCATACATTGTTTTCCGTAGCCTGACCTACACATTTGGTCAGAGAGAGTAGAAAACTGACGTGATTCAAGATCTTGTCCAGACCTGCTTCCTGCACTTATGTCCAATTATCTGTTAATTCTCTGTCTTTCTGTAGATTTTTCTTTATGCATTTGGTAAACAACAAAAGGAATTGTAAAATTTAATGTAAAATTTTTCTTTTTTGTATTAATTGTAAGTAATAAGATCTTAATAATCCTAAAATTTACAGTTGGTGTTGAATCTTAAATTTAAATTTGCTTGTAACTTACTTTGTGGTATTTTAATCTTATTTAATACAAAGTATATTTGAAATGTTCGTATTTCTGTGTTACTAATACCACTTTATTTGCACCACAAATAAGGGAGTACTCCTTATTGTTAAGATTAACAAATGCTTTGGAGTTTGAATGCAGTACCTTTAAACTTTTATAGATATGTTCTTGTCAAATACTTTGACTTATAGTTCAATTTATCCTAGACAATATAGTTATCAAGTAAATGAATTGTGTTTTGTGCACATAGGGTCTTTGCTTAAATTTGGTATTGATGAAGTTCAATAATAGCAATGAATCTTCTAGTCATTACTATGAATTAGAGAGATTTTACTTTGTTTTGTATGACTGATGTGTTTCTTTCTACTTTGACTACTTTATTTATTTTCTTTACACTAATCTATAAGCGGACTCCTCAAGTGTCGTACCAACATTTTCTGTGGGTATATTGTAAACAAAAATTAACCTGAGTTGCATGGGAGCCACACTCATTTTGATTTATAGTTACCAAGATGGTCTTAGGGCAGTGGTTATCTGTAGCTTATATAGGGGGTAGGAATTATCAGGTACCAGTGTATAGTGGATGGATGAATGATTTCTATTCTTAGAGATATTAACCAGATCCACTCCTCAATAAAGACTAATAACTCAGATTTTTTAAACAGTCTTCATGACAGATGGGAGCACAGAGGAGAATGCATCAACACAAAGAATGTTGGCCATTTGTTCGTCTTAGCCATGATTAATTGATCTTGGAGTGCTGTCTCTGAACAGGAAGTGGTATGCTGTTACATTGTGAAGTTTAAAGGTTACATTTTAGTGTACCCTTTAACTTGCATTTACATACAACATAAAATGTTTTTACCTATCTTATCTGAGTGCAGAAAGAAACATTTTTCAGCCCAGATACAAATGAATGTTTGGTGTACTATGTACTAATGTGAATCTGACTGCTAGCAGGACATACTCAGACTGCTTTTGAACCCTGTTACTGCCTAGTACACTTAGTCTCCCCAGTTGTACTCAGAACATATCTTCATTAATACTAATTTTGAGATTCTGGCTTATTAAAATTCAGAACTATACATTCATTCTCTTGTGCCTCCCAACCTCCTCCAGCTGTTTTCTACTCTTGTTTCCTGTGGCCTTGCACTTGTTAGGTCTTTCACCTGTAATTAAGACAAGTGTTGAGCAGCAAATACAAAAGCCCATGTTCTTTTGAGTCTTATGCCTGATTAAACTGAAGTTCCTGTATGCCTGACAGCAGGTCCAGTCACCTGAGCCTCACATGTGCTCCTGGGAGTGGAGAGTAAACTACTTACATGTAGAGACTCCCTTAAAAAGAAAACCTTGT